GTAAAAAAAAAACCTCAAATAATTACTGAGGAAACAGGAACAAAGAAATAATTGTGGAAACAAACCTGAGATTGCTGGAGTAAGAATAACATCACCAATTAGCATACATGTACCTAACATGGAAATGAAAAGCAACACCCTTCTAGCAACAATACTTCTTTCAAAAACTTTTCCAAGTCTAGTTTTCCCCTTGTTGTCCTCGTGAAGTACAGGGCGTGATTGGCTAGATTTTAAATCAGAATGTTTCGAAAAAAGAATACCGATATTCATATTTCTACAGAGTAAAGAATACAAGGCAAATGTTCCACCTGCATCCAATCAGTTATTGCCCAAGTCAAGAAAAATCATATTCAGTAGTACTTGAAAAAATAAAGAAAAACTTTAACCTACCTTAATGAAAAGGCAAGATAATATCTCAAAGAAACTAGTTAGTGAAAATTTTTAGACTATGAGGATTAAAATTCCAATCATATATATCAAACTAAATTGAGCAGCATTGCAAACCCAACAATTATGAGGGCAAGCATGAGCACATCCAAGAAACTAATAAAAATAAGCTCTTAAAGCCAGCAAGTGAAAAAAGAACATCTAATTATAAAACAATTATTTAAAGCACTTATCTTGCTTAAAAGAAAAAAAAGGTCTTGGAAATGGAAACATACAGAAACTAAATACAGAACAAATTATGCTGGCTAGCTTACAATCACAAAGATTTGCAATGTTAACAAGAAAATTTGTTTCATGGCTTCACCCTGATCATCTGCCTTAAGAGCTATACTGGCATACTTGACAAACCCAATGAGTGTAAGAGTCCAAAACATAATGCTATAGATTCCCAAGTAGTCTTCTTCAGTTGGAGATTTTAAGTGCATTGATGGATATGCATACAGAGGGGAAGTTACAAGCCCTCCAAATACAACTCCTAGAGTCTTGCACGCAAGTAACTGATTGCCACATCTACCAGTGTCCTGACTTCAAGACAATTGAGTCAATATATAAATTTGGTTTCAAATCCATTATATTTTCAAAAACCAAAGACAAAAATAGAACTGTGCGAATTTGTAAGCCAGTCAAGACTAATCAGGTTGCAATATCTGAACTTTCTGGTCCATGTAAAAACAGGAAAAAAAAAAAAAGAGTGATTAAATTGCAACATGAAAAACCAATTACAGCCTAAAAAGAATTCCGATCGAAACTGAGAGAGAGAACAAAGATAATGGAAGCATAACCCAGAAACTCAAAACTGGAAACAACCCACCGCAAGAACAATCTACCCGGAGTAACAGGCATGAGAAGTGACGAGAAACAACATTGTTGTCCATAGACTGAACCATGGTATTGGTGGTGCAGTCGTGAGGGAAGTGAAGAGAGTCCAAGTGATGAGGATTGGCAGAAGCAGAATCAATAACCACTTCCAATATATAACCAGCTTTTGCCTTGTTGCTCAGCTTGCCAGAATACAAAGAAACATGCAATACAAAGATCCAAGGGCGTGAAACATTAAATGAAACGCCGTGGGGACACAAATATGTATGGTGGCTGACGTGTCTTAAGACAAATTAATTGTACTATACGGAAATATCGGGATTTGGTTTTAGAAAAGTAATTTGCTACGTCGCATAACATGATTGGATAAAAAAAGTGCACGTGCACTTGGAGTTCAAGTTCAGGAATCTTTTGCCATTTGACTGAAATTTTGTTTGAACAAGTCAAGCTTTGACCCAAAGTCAAAGTTATATACATATATATAGAGAGAAAGAGAGAGAGAGTTAAACTGATAATGGATGAATGGCAGGGAGATTGGAATCCTTCCTCGGTAGATAATTTATAAATTCAAAAAATTTCGTAAGTGAAAATTTAATAATTTATAAATTTTAATTAAATTAATGAGTTATCTTGAAAATAAGTTAGTTTTTTTTTGTTGTTTCTAAATTTTTTTCATTAAAAATTATATATAAGTTTATCATTAAATTAAATATTTCGGTGCAAAACGTAAGTAAATAAGATTAACAAAAGGTAAACGAAAGATTTTACATCGGTAGTTTTTTTTAATTTTTGCAAATGTGCATCAATTGATTTGTTGCATTGAATTAAGTCAATAATCAAGTGACCGATTGATTTTTTTTCGTCTCATTTTTTCTCCATCTTTTATATTTTTTTATGGATCAGGATGGTCAAATAGATAGATAGGCTTAGATGTTAGGTTCTTAGACTAGATTGGGCTTTGACTGAAATTTTGGGCAAACCCAACTTGCTATAATACGGAGCCCATTAAAAAACGAATCTGTCAAAATCTATAATCAACGCTTAATTAGAGAAAACAATTTGACTCGTATTCGCGGATTTTGATCCCATCTTATTTTTTAGAGTTAATTTTTTTTTTAATTTGAGTATTCGGGTCGGGTCGAATAATAAAAAGGAAAAAATGAAAATCAGGTTTGGATCAAATTTTAAGCAAATTCAATCCGTCATATAAAAAAATTATTTCTTTAATTAATTAATTAATTTTATATTTATATATATATTTAATTTTATATTTATATTAAAAATAATATTTTATATTTTTAAAAAATAATATTTTATTAATTTCGGGTTGAGTCGAATCGAATCAAATTAAGTATAAATTTATATAATTTAGGTCAGGTCAAATTCAATTATGAAAAAATTTTGATCAAATCGAATTCAATTATTATATATATAGTCGATTCGGGTTTGGAGCGAGTAATAACCCGTCTCAACTTAATCCGTTACTATCCATACGCCCAACACTAGATCAAATCTTCATGATAATTTTTTAGATTTCCCATATTATATATAGTTATAGTTTAAACTTTGGAGTTTTTATCATTAATCATATGAATTATTGATAAATTATTAAAATTTAATTTTAATAAAAAAATTTAAATTTTAATATTTTTAAATATATAAAAAAAACTTTAAAAATATTTTCTAAAAATTTCAAGTTTAAATACTTGAAATGAAATATTCCAAAAGATAGGCTTAATGTCAATGCAAATATTCCATTCCAATAACAAATCAAAACAATGAAATAATATTTTTATTTTCAATCTTTTTCTAAAGTTTATTTTCATGCCTTTTTAATTAAAATTCACTATATCAGAACATTAAACTTAATAATATATTAATATATTTTTTTATATTCAAAGAATTTAATTTAATATTTTCTCTAAATAAAAAGATTACTATTATAAAAATAAAATCCTCTAAATTTTCGATCATTTTTTATTTTCTTCATACATCTCATTCGTATTATCATGTTAATATATGTGCATGTCATTATTAGTTTTTTTTTTTAAAACAATGAGAATTTCTTTATTTTTATTTTTTTAAATTAAAAGTTTAAAAGTTTAAAAGTTCAAATTAATAAAATAATTATGAAAAATCTGAATGGGGTCCACCCAATCTGGAATTGTATTAAGGATGGGTATACATAATCTAAAAATGTCAAAAGGCTTCTTCACCTAAAACAAAAGTTACAATCATATTATAAATGGGCAAAAACCCTAAATCTCCATCATTCCTTTGTTTCCAACTTACAGCTGTTAGAAAGTGCTTGGCTCACTCTCATGACTTGTTCTGCCTTCCATCACCACCGTCGGATTTGTCTGATAATTCCCCCACATTCAAAATTCGAAGGTGTTCAATGGCGGTGATTTAAGGTGCAGGTGAGAATAAAAAGAAGGTAGGAACATTTTAGGTTTAATGTGGGGTCCCCAGTTTCACATCTTGTCTGGCGATAAGTGGAGTTTCAAACGGAAGAAGACAATCCCAAGCCAAGTAGGCAGTAGATGTTGAAGAATTTGAGCTACAGATATCACCCAACCACAATGACATTACACTAATGATTGGAGCATTTCTTGAATTTTAGAAGGTACCCATTTTCCCTCTATACCTAAAAATTAGTACCAGTAATTGTTTATTCACAATGGAAACAGCAAAGTTTAGCTTAGTGACAAAGTAACCAGAACAAGCAGGACCTGACACCATTTTTGACAAATTGCAATTACTGTATCATCAATAATTCAGGCATATTCAGCAGCACATGAATAGTTTTTTTAGTATTTAAAATAATTAAAAATTGATTTTTTATAAAAAAATATAAAATAGATAAGTTATTCGGTAAATAATTAAAAATTGTATATTTCATATGACTAATAAAACTTTAATCCAAACCTTTTAATTAAAGATGAGAACTTTAACAAATTAAGCTATCTACTTGTCGACAAAAAATTGAATTTTGATAATACGACAAATGAACCAGGAAGATATATGGCATTATAGCAGCCTTGGGAGATGAGGATGTTGACTATATTGGACGACTCATTGTTGGATTTATATGCTTTTGTGTTTCATTAAGAAGGCAAGGACGACAACAATGGATTCACTCATATTCTCCCCTATTGATTGCTTCAAGTGCTTTTATAAATCTCAAAAGGCCTATAACAACAAAAGAATCCTCAATTTATAAGCAAGTAGCAAAGATGCTGTTCTTCTGTTTCTATAATCTAATTGATGACTGAAGTTTCGACCTCTCTCAGGTCAATGTCCTCAGGCCTCATGTTGGATGATTTGAAATTAAACAGAATCTGGCAAAGCACAATTGCCTTCACACCTGGGTCAAGGTTCAGGATTATTCTGACCATAGAGAAACCATTCGCTTTGGCTGGTGTCCTTTGTGATCAATCAAAAATTGGAAACAACAATTTCGAATGGCTTTTTCTTTCCTTTTTTTTTTTTTCTCTCTTTTCCTCTTTTCACCCTTCTTTTTTTTTTTCTTGCTTCCCCTTCACGTTCCATTTGATTCAAAGAGCAAATCTTTTTCTCATAAAAGTACAAAACTAATTTAAGTATCAAAATCCAACAATTAATAGTAGAAATAGTATGGTGTAAAAAAGTGAACTACAATCTGATACTTAATCTAATTAATTCATACAATAACATTTAAAAATTTAAAATTTAAATTTCAATACTTATAATTTCTTCTTTTGTTCGAGATTGAAATGTCATTTGTGAAAAAAAGTAAACTATTTTACATTCATGCATGATTCATTCAGCCCTCTTCCTATACAATTAATTTCAAACAAAGCATGAGCTATGCTGAAGTAAGAGCAAGCAGTATCATATTTCAATAAACTAAAATTCCTTAACCTTTGGTTCTAATAATAGTGATAGTGCCTCTCCCTTGAGTGTGTATTTTGGTAAGGGCCACTACAGCTTTTCCAGAAAGGCCAGGACCATTGGCAGATATGCATGGCCTACAAGCAAACTCCCCTACTGGGTGCCTCACCGGCCTTGTTGGTGGCATTAGAATCCTTTGATTAATGTCGTCTAGGGTCATGTTACCTTCAATCCCACCAGGCTTCACTAATGCAAATGGATAAACAACCCTTGTTATCACCCTTTTCTTCTTCTTATCGTTACTTCCTTAAACACGTCAAAAAATAAGTGTTAGTTACAACAAACAACATAATAATAAAAAACTAAGGATTTCCTTTGTGTCAGTGGAATAGATCAATTTACCAGAAGAAGAAATGGGGTCAGTGGAAAGTTGGGGGTCTTTGTTAAAAACTGCTCTGGTCTTCACTGATCCTTTGTAAGAAGAAGATGATGAATCAAGAGCTCCAGGGCTGCCTGGTATTGCCTCTTCTGGTTTTTTCATCTCTGTAACAATGTTTGCTTCATCACTGCTTACTGATGTGCTCAGTGGGTCATCTAAAGTTTGTGGTAATAGAAAAATAAAGAAACAAAATCCATATTGAACATTATTAGAACATTCAACATTGTCAAGTGAATTTAAATGATTTGATGGCAAAAAGTGCGTACATCTACATGGAGTGTTTTTAAACTTTACCTGAAACTCCATTAATGCTTGTTAACTGGCTCATGCAGCTGAAATTCTCAGAAAGGCCCCTGTTGCAGCTAGAATTCCAGTAGCTCTGCATAATAACAGTGGAACCAGTCAGTATTTCTTTGAAATGGTTTGCTAAAGCTAGCCAAATTCAGATCACGTTATTTGCTTGAAAAAAGAAGAACAAAAACAAAAAGCGTCGAAAATTACCTTTGCCAGATCATTTAAGCCATTGATTTGATCATGATCACTGTATAATAACAGGCGCCTTCGTTTGGACCGTTCACTGAATTCAAGTAACGCATCTTCCAGATACCCAGAAGAGAAATCAGAGTCTAGATGTGGAAAAAATGGGGCAGTTCCATCCATGACTGCATTCGCATGCAGAAGAACAAAAATGGGTTAAACCCGTTTTAAACTAAAATATGACTTTAAACCTATCCAAGAAAAAAAAGAACAATCCCGGACAAACAACAGTGAAAGAAAGGCTCAAAGACAATAAATATATAAAAGACGTTTTGTACCTAAAGACGTGTCTGCGTTGAGAACTCCAAGGTTTTGAAGATCCCAACCTAGGGAAGCGCTATGGAGGCTGCTGTTAGAGTAAGCCATAGAGTAAAGCTCATCCGTTTTTGTTGGGGCTGATGTTGTCTTACGGAGCTAAAATCATGGAAAAAAATGGTTCTATACTTGTATTTATTGTAATGGTTTGATTAGGTTGTGCTAGAAGAAGTGACCTGGGTGACAATTACATGATGGTACAAGGAAGCAGAGAGTCAGTCAACGGCCATGGAGAGAACAAAGTGTGTGTTTCTTGGGATAAGGAAAATATATTAAGGGATCAAGCTTTTTTTTTTCAAATTTTTTTGGGTCTCTGTTCTTCTGCTTTGCTGGGGTTTGGAATTTATGTGGGCTTTGGTACATGGGGACCAAATAATTGCAAAAATTATGATATCATATGCTGCTGTTTTTCACGAAAAAGCAAAGGGATTGTTGAGAGTAAAAAACAGACAAGAAAACCTGGCTAGACATAATTCAAATTTCAGCTTTTTCTTTTTTCTCTTCTTTCTGATATGGTTACCAACCGTTTCTCCTTGTGGGAACTTTTCCTTTTATTTTTGCTTCCACATTCTCACCATTATGTGGATATAGGGCCCACTACTTGGCATGCTTGTGGGGTCATTGATAATGTGCAGCATTTCAGCAACAAATAAGAAGCAGAAGATGAAGAATTGATGTAGGACAAACAGGGGTCCAAAGCTTTTTTTTTTTTTTTGTTGGAGTTTGGTGGTCCAAAAACTTAGTCTAGGTGTGTGTTACTCACCATTTGTTTCGTGTGGAATTTCTGATTGATGTTTGATCTGAATGTGGAACAAGCTTCTCTTGTGTCTCTCTCTTTTTTGGGGTCATATGGATTAGAGCTACGGACTATTGTACGTCAAGATCGTCACAACTGTATGTGAACAACGAGTATAGCTGTACTGGATTTTTAGTTTCAATAATCAAAATTCAATTTCTGATAATCTCAAATGTATAAAAAAAATATAGAGCACTGCTGAGAGGATCATAGCGACGAAGATCAGCTAGATTCCTGGAGTTGGGCCCTGTTTCAATGTTGAGCAAATGAAAATAATCCATGCAAGTTCTTTCTGATGGAACTGATGGATATATCTGCGGATAAACATGGGGAGACATGTTTTGAGATATAATCCATGGTCCGAACGTTCCATGGAACTCGATCGTTTGGTTGCAACAACCAACCATAACAAGAACAATACCAGCAGAGTGAAAAGCCAAATTTGGTTGCAATTGATGAACTCCTTGTAGGACTGAAATATTGAGCCTACACTCGAATTTGGTGGATGGCAATCTCCAAACAAGTAACTGTAAGTAAAAAATTAATCAATTTCCCCATTTTATCATTTTAGAATCTCAAATTCTCCTAATTCAGGTGAAATCTTTATCTCCTACACAAAAGCAAGCAACGCAAAGAAGGGGCATGAGGAACATAACATGTTTCTCCAACTCTGCAATAAAGATATTTGTTAGAAGCTAAATCCCATCAGATTGGAGCAGCGAAAACATGGAAATTTTTAGGCTTCTGTTTGGAAGCTACTAATGATGACATTTGGTAGCCTCTATGAATGCAAATTGATTGATAATTAGTGGTTTTATCTGATTTAGAATTTTTTTTTGGGCTGAAGCTTTCTGTTATATATATTAATCTTGGTTTTTCAGCTCAGCCTAGGAATGCTTATGATGGCATTTGATATAAAATAAGGGAAAAGTTATGGATTCTATAGAATTTTGTTGACAATTTCAGATATGATGCAATTTTATAGATGGTCGATTGAGAAGCAATGGAAGCGTCTTCAATTGTTTTAGACCTTTTTTCATCATTTGGGATAATCTCATATTTAGTAATTGAATGTGATATCTCTATTTCTAAAATGTGTAATGTGATATGTGTTGAAGTAAAAACTCTCATTGAGAGGTTCAGAATTACAAAAAAAAGAAAAAAGAAAAGGATTACATTAATGATTAATGGTTCAACTCAGACTGACAATGCTCATTTGCTCAATATGCTGAAGCCAGGAAAATAATTGGGGAAAAACAAGGCAAAACAAATACTAAAAATAAAAAAGTTCGGATGAAAATTGTTTATGGGGTTAGAACAAGTTCTAACAAATTTTGTTCTTATTAGTTTTTCTCTCGCTGACATATTTCTTCCAGTAAGCAGTGATTTCCCTCTGGGTCTCAATAGCAGTCTTCTTGACAGTGCCATTTATGCCAACCTCTTCGTCAGCCATAGCCAGTTTGGCATTGACCTTTGCAGGGAGGGTATCCAGCTCATGGAGCACCTTTTGGATGTCAAGCACAAGACGCTCAGCTAAGGTGCGGGAGAAGTCTTCCCTGATGACAACACGGAGCACAGTGATATGCTGAGCATCTTCTGGCATGGTGTAGGCAGGCACAATCCAACCGTATCGCCGCAACATCTCAGATATCTCGAATTCATCATGTTGCTTGTTGTTCTTTAGAGAAAAGGCCACCAGAGGAACCCCATTGTCCTTCGACACAATGTTAAAGCGCCCTGTTTTTTCCAATCCTTCTCTCAGGACCATAGCATTTTCATGACAGTTTTCCATAACATTTCTGTATCCCTGTAGTTAAAACATCGTTGCATCACATTAGTTGGTACATTGAAAACAAAATTTATTGAACTCAACTGAATAAATTTTGCATTTACAAGCCTTAACTAGCTAGGTTCTCACCTCATAACCCAAACGGATTAGTTGATAATACTGAGCAATGACTTGGCTAGAACCTGCAGATAACAAATACACAAGTTTAGTGTTGGTTTTGCTGTATATTGTCAATACAAAAAAGGAAAAAAAAAACGTGGAAAGTTTGAGCATCAAGGAAATTGGATTGGAGTAGTCACCTTTGGAGAAATTGAGAGTGAATGTGGGTTGATCAGCTCCAAGATAGTTAATGTGGAAAATAAGTTCTTCAGGCAAGTCTTCCTTGCTCCTCCAGATAACCCAACCAATTCCAGCATAGACAAGACCATATTTGTGGCCACTAACATTAATGCTTTTCACAAGGGGAAGCCTGAAGTCCCACTCTAGCTCAGGGTACAAGAATGGTGCAATAAATCCACCACTAGCTGCATCAACATGAATTGGGGTATCCCATCTGCAGAAGAGATAATCGGAGATAAATTAAATTTAGCACTTGATATTTCAAATGTTTAAAATCTGTTACTGCAAAATTGATATGTACCCAGTTTCCTTGTTCTTTTCTACCAAGAGATTGTTTAGAAGCTTGACATCTTCAAATTCTCCATTGAGGGTGGAACCCAGGATAGCAGCAACACAGATGGTGTTTTCATCTACCATTTCCACAGCTTTTACAGGGTCCATCACATAGTAACCTTCCCTCAGCTTCACTTCCTTCAACTCTACTTCAAAGTACCTCGCAAATTTCTCCCAGCAAACCTGAACATTGGCTCCAGTGACAATGTTGGGTTTGTCATAAGGTTTGCCTTCGGCCTTGCGCTTGTTCTGCCATTTTCTCTTGAATGCAAGGCCAGCCAGCATGATTGCCTCGGATGACCCAACTGTTCCCACTCCAACAGCAGCCTCGGAGTCACCAAGTGGTGCATTGAAAAGGTGTGCTATCATGTTCACACAACGATTCTGCATCAAAAGTACATTTTTACCTTTTGGTAATCTGAAAATTTTACAGGATTCAGGATAATGTTTCTTTCCTATATTATGATGGTAAAACAAATTTTATTCCTAGACTTTTTGTTCGTTACAACTGGATTGACACTATGACCAAAGAGGCAAAGACGATTCAAGCGTTAGACTTTTCTTTGAATTGCTGCTTCACTTTTTCTTGATTTATTGTGGCAAAAACCAAAACGTCTTTTGGATCTTTGTTATTTTGTAATACAAATTGAATTCTATGAGCTTATGAGAAAGGTTGAAAGAAATTTGCTAAAAATAGGGGGAAAAAACTAAAACATGAAGAGAGGAGAGAGTCAGAGGGATATGTATTATACCTGAAGCTCGGTGGTGACAGGGTACTCATCCATGTCAACATAGTTCTTGTTAATGGAATCCATTATAAGCTTATCACATTCAGGCTCCATCCAGGTAGTAACAAAAGAGGCAAGGTTCAACCTTGGGTTCCCATCAAGCATCAGCTCATCGTTGATAATCTGATATGCAGCCTCTTTTGGTATTGAGTTCTCTGGCATCTTGAACCTGCAATATTTTCCGTATAAATTATCCACTTTTTCACCATGAAATCAATGCCTGTTTAGATTTCCACATATTATGCTATGCATCCAAAAGTTGGGATCATGGGATTACCTGGGAAGTGAGGTTCGGACATAGCGAGAGGCAAAAGTGGAGTGAATTGAGACATCAGTCTGAGAAGCTGTCTTAGATAGGACCATGGCTGATGTATTAAGAAATCAAAATACTATAAAAATGAATAAAATTTTCTAAAAAAAATACAGAGAGATCAAAGAAGTTTGTATGAAGCTAAAGCTGTTGTTGCTTCGTGAGGGAGGCATTGGGAGGCAACTGGTATTTATAGGGAGGCTTTGGCAGCGTAGAATCAGTACGCAAGACTTTACCCCATTTGGCCATTCCTCTAAAAGCAAGTAGCACTCTTACAATACCAAATTTGGCCCTGTTAAGTTCCCAATTATTGGTCCAAAAAAGAAAAGAGTCTAGAATTTGAAGGAATAAAAAAAAAAAGCCTTGTTGGGTATTTTACTTGCAAACAAAACAATGGCAATATATGGTCAGCAGCACAGGTCAAAACAAGCAATCGCAGCACGGTTTAGACGCTTATGAACCCTGGTAGGATGTTTCTGCTCATTGGCTTGCCAATAGCCACCCACTGAAACGCAAAGAAATCTGAATACAATGGAAGCTTCCAGCATATAGCCCAATTCGCTAATTCCCAGTTTCCCACGTATGGGAACTTTCCTGCCCACCTTACCCCTATCGTGGAGAAATATGTTGAATTTTAGTAATTATTTTTCCATATTTGGCCTAAAAGGTTATTATAAAGAATATTATTCTTCTTGATACCCATCCAGAACATATTTCAATGACAAAGTCGAATTTAAAAATACAGAGAGTTAGTGCATGATTTGTGTTAATCAGAATTTTTTATTTAAGTGAAAACCAATCATGACGATGGAATGTTATGCCAGTTCTTCGAAATTGACAAAAAGAAAAAGCAAATTTCCGGGATCCTGCCTTCCATATCATCTATTCTCTCCATCTCATATTTTTTATTTTTTCCCGAGATATCTCATAATTATTTTTTTGAATAATTTAATTTTTTATTTTTTATTTTTGACATTAAAAATCATAAAATTTTAATTGTATAAAAAATTTTAAATTTAATATTATATACACTAAAATTAATTTTTTTAAAAAATTTCTTAAAAATCAATACATGATAAATATTTTAAGACAAACAGTAAATAAAAAAATTGAGATGGAAAGGAGAATCAATCTGCATCCCAATAATCAAGTTGCTGTTAAAAATTCATGAAACGAAATTGATTTATGAGGACTTTGAATTTGTGAAAAGATATTTCACGTCAAAATTGATTATAAAAATAAAATAAAATATTTTTATTGCACTTAAATTTAAATCTTTTATGATGAATTATTAGGTCTAATCTACTTTTTTCTCGGAGTCCAAACAACATGGTTTAATTATGCTACTGTTAATTATAATCAATTAGGCTGTCCATTGACTTGGCTTGATTATTAATGATGATCAGTTAGGTCAGATTTAGGGTAGGTTAGTAAGATTAAAAGATGCATTAAAAAATCAAAACAACTGACATCCATAAGAGCCTGGCACAATCCCGATGATGTCATGGCTTATTTTATTAACAATGTATAGATCCGGAACAAGTCCAACAAATAGCACCCCGAAGAACACTGAACAATGGAGGAACATGACGAATTTTATGACTTCCCAAGGGGCAAGCAACCCTGTCCCTGTCGATTTTGCCTGAGATTTTTGAAAATTTTGAAAACTTTTTTCTTTAGTCAAGTATAAACAAAATAGGTCTTAATTACGAAATAAGAAAGCTCCTTTTATACAAAATTATAATTTGAAGATAAAAAATAATTTTAATTATTGAAATTTTAATTTTAAATTTATTAATTATTAATTTTAATAACAATTACATAAATTAAATAAATTAATTTTTAAATTTTAATGACGGATATAAGTGAAATGATAAATTTTTTATATATAACCTCAAATTTTGAAAAATAAAAAATTTCGAAAAAAAATATTTTATAAAAACACCCTAAATTTTTTATTTTTATATTTTTTCGATAAAATCAATAACTTCATTAAATTTTTATATTATAAGGTAACATCTCAAAAATTAGTCACTTTCGAATTCATTAAAGATAAATTTTTTTGTTATAATAATCAATCGGTTAGGTCGGTAATTGAGACCGACAGGTTGATTTATTTAATCGAACATAGACGCATTTTAGCCCTGAACCACAGAAAAAAACTAACTCCAAAAGGATCTCAAGTCTTTGGTCTAGAATTTTGACAAAGAGAAATTGAAGTCTAGGTCACATCACATTGTAAAATAAAACAAAATTAATAATTTTATTCCAAAATTGCTGGACCAATGGTGAATCAGGTTTATTTTTCCGGTTTGGAAGAAAAAAAAAAAAGAATGCAAAGAATTAGTCACGAATAAATTCGTGAAGTATAGCAATTAGTCACGAATAGACTAATCGTGACAAAATAAAGATAAAATGAA